GGCGGCCAGGGAAGGAGGAGGGAAACCGAGGGAGTGGTCTGGTGGCAGGTGCGGGGCGGCCCAGGGGAGGGAGCCTCGGGGTTCCCTGTTACTGCTGGCATGTTCCCTACGAATAATTAGCATCTATAATCATAAAGGTGTAATATGCTAATTAGACTGGATGTCCTTCTGGATGACTTTCTGGACGAACTGCTGTGGCGGGGGGCCGAGCCCCTTGCACGAATTTCATGCATCGAGCCTCTAGCACAGTGGTTCTCAGCCTTCCTAATGCCGTGACCCTTTAACACAGTTCCTCATGTTGTGGTGACCCCCAACCATAAAATTATTTTCGTTGCTACTTCGTAACTGTAATGTTGCTACTGTTATGAATCGGCATGTAAATATCTGATATGCAGGATGTATTTTCATTGTTACAAATTGAACATAATTTAAGCATAGTGATTAATCACAAAAACAATATGTAATTATATATGTGTTTTCTGATGGTCTTAGGCAACCCCTGTGAAAGGGTCGTTCGACCCCCAAATGGGGCGCGACCCACAGGTTGAGAACCGCTGCTCTGGTAGGCAGTTACAGTTCGTTGCTGGCAATAGGAGTGGACATCCCTTTGGGCGTGCCGCGTGGATGGGACTTCTTTGGCCTGGAGGGAGGGGCTTCCATGACATTATGACGATCCGCTGAGCTAATCGGTTCAGTAAACAGGCTTGCAGTTTTAGCTACAGGACCAGCTTCTCCGTCACTGGCGGTTTACGTGAATGTTTCCTCCGTCTGAAGTTTCTCAAGGGCCCTGTCCCCGCGGATGGCAGTTCAGTTTGTTTAAAACAATCTCCATCCTGGCTTTTCCTTTGGAATTTTCTGAGCCGTACTGTGGGGAAAGCAGGGCTCCGGATGCTGAGCCACGTTCCCTGGCGCAGGGAGCTCCGGGGACGGCAGATTTTCAAACTACACAAGGAACACGGGTCTCACCCCAAGGGTCACACCAGGGAGAGGTCGGAGTGAGGGCAGCTGATGCAGAAAAAGAGAGAGGGAGAGGGGAGGAAGTGAAAGAGAGAGAGAGAGAGAGGGGGTGGGGAGGGGAAAAAAGTAAATGAAACAGAACAGCTGTGCTCCCCATGTGGCTATCGCTGTGTTTTCAGTCTCTCTTGCCCACAGTCTGCAGGCATTGCCCCGCAGTGGCCCCTCCGTCAGTGTTGCTGTAAGGAAGGAGGGCGGCTTATGTGCTGGAAGTTGTTGAGTCTGAATTACAGAGAAATGATCCCAGTCAGAGCAGACAAGTGAGTCTCAGACAAAAGCATGAGCTTGTGTGGAACCTTCCCTCAGAAAACACACGAACAGAGTGAAAGGAAACAGAAGAAATTAAACAAACAAATAAGAACCTGGCCGCTGGGTTGATGACACTGAAGCTTGCAGGCGGGCCCTACCCTAGTCCCTCCTTGGTGGGTGGAGACGGGACCAAGGGCTCTTATCCATCTGGAGAGGGATCGCACCTCCCTTTCTGAGGCCTGGCCGTGTGGCTATGTGCTCAGATCGGGGACCTGCAGGCTGTGGACAAACGTACCCTGTGAGGGACCCTCCTGAGGTGCACCCAGCTCCCTGTCTGCAGCTGCACCCCTGCTGCACGGCCCCCTGGGGGATCTCTGTGCTGCTGAGGGAGCTGCCGGGAGGCAGGAGGAGGGCAGGGGGGCGGGGACCCAGGGAAGAGAGGAAAGGGGCCTGGAGGGTGAGGGGCACCTTCACTTCCACAGGGTGTGAGCCAGCTGTCCAATCAGAAGAGGGTGGCCCTGGAGGCAGGAGGACCCATCAAGGACGGTCCAGAGCGGAAAGCCCCCCCCCCCTTAGTATTTTCTTTAAGGAAGAGGGAGAAGGAGAAGCATCAAGGATGAGAGAGAATCATGGATCTGCTGCCTCCTGCACACCCCACACTGAGGATCGAGCCTGCAACCTGGGCAAGTGCCCTGACCGGGAATCAAACCCTGACCTCCTGGTTCATAGGTGGGTGCTCAACCGCCGAGCCACGCCGGCTGGGCAGTACCCCCTTAAAAAAAAATCCTTGTTGCAGATGAGCTGAGCTCAGCGACACACACTTATTTGCAAAATTAAATCGATGGTTAGACGGCAGGCGGGTCCCGTATGTTCAGATCCCGTCACCGCACCGAGTCTGACTCTTTCTCTCCCTTTTATTCTCCGAGTTCGGCGTCGTGTTTGTCTAAGCTGTTTGCTTTGGGTGACATTTGATCGGAGGAGTTCATGATCTCCACCGACTCTGTTCGTCTGTCACGGCGTCCATCTCCTGTCTCCTGAGTGAGCGCAGGGCACCGATGTCAGCAGGAGGGGCGGCGATGGGCCAGGGAGGCGCTGGCCAGGTCACTGTAGAGCGTGTCCGGGGAGATGACACGGACCACGGGCAGCCGGCAGGGCTGTGGGCCAGAGCAGGTCCCAGGCCCCTTCCCTGTTCTGTGCGGTCCTGGTCACGAGTCGCAAGCAAAGATTTGAGCCCCGATCTTCATGCCTTCAGCTCCTCCAGGTCGAGGTTCCCACATGTCAATCAGAAATGTGTAGATGAAATATTATTTTCTATTTCTGCCACAAATGCCGCCCACATTTTTTTTCCAGACGTGAACAGGAGCCTGAGCTTCTTGTTACATGTGACGTGGGTCCTACAAACATGGAGACACCTCCCCACGTCTGAGAACAACGAGTCTAGAAACCAAGTCTTCTATGTTCCCTTTATGTTGCATAAGGAGTAGGGGGGTCCGACGCACTTGTGCTCTGTTATTTAATACTAGAGGCCCAGTGCACAAAAATTTGTGCACTCAGGGGGTGGGGGGGGGTCCCCCAGCCCGGCCTGTGCCCTCTCGCAGTCTGGGACCCCTCGGGAGATAACGACCTGCTGGCTTAGGCCTGCTCCCGGGTGGCAGAGGGCAGGCCCAATCCCTAAGTGCAGCCCCTGGTCAGGCTCAGAGCAGGGCCGATTGGGGAGTTGGGGCGCCGCCCCCTGTCACAC